GGACGCCCCCCCCCACTCCCCCCACCTGCTCTGGCCCCCCGGGGTGCCGGCCAGCCTCCAGAGGAGCCCCAGGCCTCCGGTTCCCACGTCGGGCCCGCTTCCATGGCCCCAGGTGCGACAGTTTCCGTCTCTAGCGGCCGGCTGGGCGGGGACTGCCCCAGGTAAGGAAGGGACCCCGGGCGGGTCCGCACCTGGCCACCAGGTGGCGGTGGTGGGAGGACAGCAAGCACTTCAGCGTCAGGGCGGCTGCTGGGAAACGTCCTGGGAACAAGCCCACGGACGCCAGCGTGGTCCCTGGAAGTGCGGCGTCACGAGCCCCACGCCCGTCGATCACCCACAGGCACACGTACGGTCTTTGCGAAACACTTTATTGGCGGAGGCTCACACGTTCTGACCGTGTCTCAGGCCAGAGAATGACAGGAGGGTGACAGGTGCGCTGGGACCCTGAGGTGGCTCAGATGGAAGCTGCAAGAACCATGTCCGCAGGCCTGCTCCTCGGTGCCTCAGTTTCCCCCTTATGAAACGGGAGGGTTACGTTCCCTTCCGGGTCTGAAATCCTGGTACAAGTGGGACGAAAGCCCCAGGGAGGATGCTCCCCACTCCCAGAACCTGCCCCGAAGCTCCTACCCCACACCATGTGCCAGGAAAAGGACGTGTGCCCAAGAAGCCGTGTGCCTGGCGGCCCCTGCTGGCAGGGTCGGGGAGTGCGGCTCTCTCCGGAAGCTGGGGCAGGGACACCTGGGTGATCGAGGGTTGTCCTGAGCCCTCGGGGCAGAGGGCAGAGGGCGGGGAAGCAGCGAGAGCTGCAGCCCGGCTCCGTCGGACGCAGGGTACGGAGCGGAGACGGGAATCCTCGCCAGGCTCCTGGCCGCTCCAGCAATCTTTCTGGGAAAGGAGACGGCGGCCGGGGTCACAGGATTCCCAAGCAAGAAGCTTGGTGGGCGGGCCGACTGGCAAAGGGCGCCGCGGCAGCCTATTCCTCCCGGAGCTTTTCTGGGGCCAGGCTGGCGGCCGAGGGCGCGGTCTTCCTCCGGCCCGGACCGCCCCCGCCCAAAGCCAGCCCCAGCAGCAGGGCGGCCAAGGCCAGGATGTGGACGCAGAAGTAGACGGAGGCCCAGTACCGGACGGTGTCTCCCAGGGACAGCAGCACGAAGCCCATACACATGTAGTCGTAGGCGCGCATCTTCAGGAACCAGTGCACCCAGTCCCAGGCCTTCTGGCCCCCGGGACTGAGCCGCCCCCGCAGGGCCGACTCCAGTCGACCCTCCGCCGCCAGGCACAGCGGGATGGTCAGGAAGCTTAGGTAGTAGCCAGGGTGGAGGCCGTGCCAGTAGGCGCTCAGCAACATGGTCCAGGCGCTCCTGGGGGAGGGGCTCGGATTCAGGACCCTGGAGCCCAGACCCCCAGCCCAGGAGTCCAGGCCCCCATCTCCTTCCTCCTTCAGACCCAGGACCACAGACCCCTGAGACCCAAGAGTCCTGACTCCCCAGGCCCTCCTCCCTCAGATCCAGGAGTCCAGACCCCAGACTTTCCTCCCTAAGACCCAGGAGTCCTGAACCCCAGCCCCTCCTCCCTCAGGCCAGGAGTCCTGACCCCCCCCACCCCACCCCTCCTCCCTCAGACCCGGGAGTCCAGACCCCCAGCCCCTCCTCCCTCAGACCCAGGAGTCCTGAACTCCACTCTCCTCCCTCAGACCCAGGAGTCCAGGCCCCCAGCCCCCTCCTCCCTGAGACTCAGGAATCACTATTCTGTTTTCAGGAACTCAGTTAATGCCCTCTTATCACAGCTTCCCTCAAAACCCATGAACCTGAGCCCCTAGCCACTTCGTCTTGGGGATCTAAGAGTGGAATTCCTGATTCATGAAGACTCAGTCATCTCTAGCCATGGTCTCCTCTCTCTCTGGACCCCAAAATGCTATAAATTCAGGCTCCGGTCCCTCCTTCCTCAGAGACACAGAAATCACCACAGAGGACTCCGCCTGGAATGGAGATGTGGGTTCTTCCTTGTCTGTGGGCATCAGCCTTTCCCTGGGGCACATCAGGGTGCTTGAACCTAAGGACACAATAATGTTGCCCCCCATCCTTGGAGGCATAGAGTCCGTAAAAAGGCTGAATTTTCACTCTTGCCCAAAAGGGAGACCTTTTCCCCTCTCTCTCTTCTTCAGCCACTTCCACGAAAAAAACATAGTGCTTCAAAAACTTTTCTCCGTCCTTCGGATATGGATGGAAACGTTCGGAAAGGCTTGGAAATAAGCCTTAAGAAAACACAGTCCATGAATGTTTTTCTGGAGGGTGGTGGTACCCAGTCTTTGAACTATAAATGTCATGGGAGCTGGAGCCCCTGTCTCCCCGCCACTGTGGGGGTACATCCTAGGCACCTGGCATCACGCTACCGCCTGCTGGACACCTAGTTGCATTCTTCCTTCAGGTAGAGACGATCAGCACAGGTGGCTACCCCACTGCCAACTGAACTGGGGCAGAACAGGAGACCGTGCATCACGGCAAACAGTCGGTGGCTCCTCTTACTTGAGGACAGGTTATCGTTTCTCTTGGGAGCATGCTGTGCAGGGGACTGTGACAGGTGGCTCCGACGACAAGAGGAGCTTTCTTTTCGTTTTGGTAATCTCGTTAGCGGGTTACGTGGTGCACAGCCTGGCTCAATGCTAGCTCTTTAATAACAAAACCGTGTTCTTTCTTTTCTGCCAATGGTGGAGACAGAATTCCCGGGTCGGGAGCATTTCAAGAGACGTTCTCCGACAGGGAGAAACAGGGTGGAAGGGACGCACATAAACGGCCCACCAGGCACCTTGAACTCCACACAGGCACCTGAACTCTGAGCTGTGGTCCCTACCTGCTCTCCCCACCTGCACACTCTCCCAAGAACAGTCCGTGCTCCCCCTCGGCCTTTCCCCACTTCCGTCCTCCCTGGAACCCACTCCAGCTGGCTTTCACTTCCACCCTCCAAACTGCTCCCGTCAAGGTTGCTGGAGACCCCCCCGCACCCTCCCGTCGCACCCAAGCCCGAGCCTTTGTTGTACTGAGGCTCCTGACATCGCCCGACACAAATGACCCCTCTCTGCTTTCCTGACTGTCCTCCTAGCTCACCGGCTCCGTCTAGGCCGGCTCCTCCTCGCCCCTCGTCTACACCGGGGTTTCTCAATCTCAGCGCTACGGACGTTTGGGGCCAGATCACTGTGTGCTGGAGCGGGGGCCGTCCCGTGCCGCGCAGGGTGTTGAAGAGCGTCTGGGCCTGTAACCACTGGCTGCCAGTAGCATCTCCCACTTATGGCACAAAGGGCTCCCAGGCGTTGCCGAATGCCCCCAGGGAGTGTGGCACGGCTGCCCCCAGCCGAGAACCTCTAACCGAAACACTGGAGCGCCCGCTGCTTTGACCTGCTGCTCAGCCCGAGTGTTAGGTACCGCTACCTGAAGGCACCTGAGCGCCCGCTTCTCACACCGTCTCCTCCTTCTGCGCCAGAGTCCCGTAACTGACCGCCTACCCAGTAACCCCAACCGAAACCTGACAGTCACCTGGGAGTCCGTGGGACTCCACCCAAGTTTCACTCCCTCACCCGAGCCACTCCGGAAACTTCCTCCTGCCCAGTCTTCCCATCTCAGTCACTCACAGCCATCACCCGGCATCACGCTTCACTTCCTCACGTTCTCATCCCCACATCCAGGCCGTGCCCAGTCCGGACACCCAGGTAGGTTTAGCTCCTAGCTCTGCAGCTGCGTCCTGATCTCATCTGGTGGCTCTGGGAAGGCGGAGTGACACTTGGCAGGTTACCTAACCTCTCTGAGCCTCAGTTCCCTCATCTTTAAAATGAGGGTGGGGAGCCTGGGTGGCTCAGTCGGTTAAGTGTCTGACTTCGGCTCAGGTCATCATCTCACAAGTTCGAGCCCTGCATCGGGCTCTGTGTGGACAGCTTGGAGCCCGGAGCCTGCTTCGGATTCTGTGTCTTCCTCTCTCTCTGCCCCTCCCCTACTCACACTCTCTCTTTCTCAAAACAAATAAACATTAAAAAAATTTTTTTTGAAACCAGGGTAGTAAGCTCTACGTCCTAAGGTTGTAAACATAACAATGTCTGGCACACTCGAGTTTCCACTCAAGAAGTATTGGATGAATAATGAATAAAAGCTACTATACGGTGACTACTCACCTGGCGGGCCTCACGTTAGGTATGTTCACATCGCTTAAACCTCTCATCAATCTCTGAAGTAAGTTAACAGCATCACCCCCATTTAAGAGTTGAGGAAACACAGCTCAACTAGCTACTTAAGGTTTCTCTGTGTCTGGCTGGGCCAGGATCCCAGAAAGTCTGGCCAGAGTCCACAGGATTCAGTACACTGCTTCTGTCCAAAGATGTTGACTTTACACAAGTAGAAACTGAGGCCCAGAGAAAGGGAACGATTTACCCCAGAGCAATGCAAATCAGGGGCTGGGAACCGGCTCAAGAAACTACAACTCCCATGACCCTCTGGGGCGGAGGCCCGGCCGGGAGCCCACAAGCAGCCCCAGGCGCTACTGGGAGGTGTAGTTCCGTGTTTTCCCAGGGCAGGCGCGCTCACCTTAGCACATAGGAGCGAGCAGGTGCGCTCTTGTAGACGTACTGCGCCAGCCACCACTGCACCGTCATGTTCCAGTACCGCATGCCATCCCGCACCCGCACGCAGAAGTCAGTGCCGTAGCAGTCGATGTTGCGGATGGTCTCATAGTCGTACTCCAGGGAGGCCGCCTTCTCCGGACTGGGGGGGGGTGGAGGATGAGGGTGGGGGACAGACATGCAGCTCAGCCAGGCCCCCTCCCGACGCTGGCTACTGTCCCAGCCCCGGATGCTAAGGAGGGGATCGCGGCCAGGCCAGAGCTCTGGCTGTCACATTTGCTAGGGCAACCGGGGAGGGTAGCCCAGAGGGAGCCTTTTCCCGGACGAAGACTGGGGGCGGGGGCACAACAGTTCACTGACAAGGGGTCCTCCTTCTCTTGGTCTCAGGGCTACAACAGCAACGAAAAGCCTTGAGGGGCTACAGTTGCTAAGCTACGAGTCCTCAGCAACCTGACCCTTCAGGGGTCTCAGATGCTAGGGAAGGGCAAACAAGCTCACTGTATTCAGAGCAGCCGCCCAGTGTGGTCCTAAGTTGTCAAGACACTGCGGTTGCTAGGGAAGTAGCATCCCTAACAACGCGGTGGTCTACGATTGCTAGGGAGATGTTTGAGGCCCACGTGACACCTGATGGTCTCTGTTGCTAGGGAAAGGGTATTCCTTAGGAACAAGGCCTAGGATGTTTAGAAACACTTCCAGAAAGGGCCCCTCCTGGTCTTTATGATTATTCAGTTAAGTGTCATCTCCAGCACTACAGTGGCTCCTGGATCACTGGTGCCAACAGTCCCAGTGGCGGCGAACATCTTTCACCCACCCCAGGGTAGGTGGCTTCTGAGAATGGGAGGGGAGCCATCTATTACAAAAGCCTTCAATTCCTGCTTGCCATTTTCTGGCGGACACCCTCACTAGTAACCGGAGGTCTACCGTTGGTTGCTAGGAACCGGGGATGGGGGAGGGGGGAAGTGGGG